ACTGTACTCACGTGCGATTTTCGGACCCGAAGTTGTGCTTCTGTGTGAGGAGGCTCACAACCGGTATAAGTCGATATAAGGGCTTACGGGGCCGCCGCCCCGATCTTATTGGATTCCTCTCTTGCGACGCCGGTGATAGCATGGGTCTAAGAATCCGCACTGCCGGCGGCGATTGGCGGGGGAGGCCGCAAGCCGCGTCACCTGCCGGCGAGCTTCTCCTCCAGCCACTCGGTCGTGAGGTCCTCGGGGTCCGAGAGTGAGAACTGCTTCGCCACGCGAAACTTCTCGACGAGGGCAGGGACCAGTCGCGTGTACATCATCTTGAGCGACGCTGGCACGTTCGGCGGCATAAAGACAACGAAAGCGATCGGGTACGAGACCCGCCCATCCGTGTGGCTCTGCTTGTGAATGAATAGCAGGTAGCGCGGCTCGATCGCATCCTCGATCTTCTCTGCGAGATCCTCGATCGAGGAGAGGCCCTTGCAGCTCTCTTCGATCTGGAGCTCGTCCGAAGAGTGGACGATGCGGATGACCATCGCGTCGCCCGACGAGCCTCGAAGCTGGAAAGACTTGATCGCGGCGGACATGCCATCCGCCATCTTGTACCCGAGTACCTCGTCCGCCATGTACATGTGCGACTCTGTTCTGGTCGGCGACCGCAGCGTGCCGGCACCACACGTGTGTGCTGCCCTTGGGGAGCGCTCGGCTGCGCGTCGGCGAGGGAGCGGGTGCGCCGACGACGCCGACTGCAAAATGCGGAAGGCCTCTGAAAGGAAGAAAACGCGCGAAGTCGCGCCGGAGTTCCGCGTAGGCCAGGCGCGAAAGTTGTACAACGAACGGTCCTCGGCGTCTCGCGCCGCGCCCGGGGAGTATGGTTCGACCCCCCCAACAACCAACCCCAAAACAAAACAGCACGGCTGCTCACAAGAGTCAAGACCAAGAGAGGGAAAAAGGGAGGGAGCCGAGCCAGAATGAGCCATGACCGGCGGGACAACATGTGAGGCAGAGAGGATGCGACGTCTTGTGGGGCGTCCAGTATCGAGCTCGGGTGCGGGAGAGAGAGCGTGTTGTGTTGTGGAGGGGCGGACATCGAGCCGAAGGCGTGCTCGAAGAAGCCCCTCAGGTGCCTGTGCGCCGACCACCCCCCGGTGTTTTGACACCATTATTCGGTATATTAACCTCGCGGCCGCCTAGATAGACTGAAAGACTAGACACCGCAGGATACGCGGCTCCGGCGGCAGTTGCGCTCGACCGCTGCAGCAGCTACTGCTGCTGCTGCTGCTGCTGCGCTGCTGCGGCTGCTTCTTCTGCTGCTGCTGCGGCTGCTGCGCCGCGCGCTACCGCAAGATACGAATTCCCACTGCCCCGCCAGCCTGCCCGCCCGCCCGCCCGCCCGCCCATCCTCACGCCCGCCCGCCCGCCCATACCCTTTTCCAGCAGCAACTAACATGCACAGGCGCTCGATTTCCCATCTCGCTGCCTACTCGCTGCCTCGAGGGAGGAGGGGAAGAGGTCAGGCAGCATTCAATTGCGCTTGGCGCGAGGCCCCTCCCCGAAAGGCAAGCATTAGACCCATGAAACCGAGACCCCTCCCCCCCCGCCCCGATCCCCCCACCCCCTTGCTCCCCTCCCCCCCCTCGGGAGGGCCGAACTGAGGCGCCCGTGGGGACCCCACAATTCCCTTCCCCCCTCGGAGGGGGCCGGACGGAGGCGTACCCCGTGGGCCCCGCTCTTTCCCTTGCATAGCGGCCACTCTTCGGATCGCTGGTCGAGCGACCCGGGGGATGCCCCGCGCGCCTGACCCAGGCGCGAGAAACGAATCTGCGAGGCGAGGCCGCTCACGCGGCCCGATGGGGAGGAACGGGGCGAGCCCCCTCCAACCCACCCGCGCTAGGTCTCGGGGGACGAAGGGGTCACACCCGACGACCTCGGGAACTAGCCGGGGCAGTCGGAGAAGTGGCAACTCCGTGCACTGACGGTCGGCCGCCAGAAAACACGCCTCCGTGGCTCGGGTTACACCAATCCTCGCTACCCAACGCGGCCAAAGGATATCCACCTCGAGAACCTCGAGAGCTCACAAAAAAACAACCGCCACCTTTCATTGCCAACTCGTCGTCGAAGCTCGTCGTCGCACCTCCTCGGGGCCCATGCTTACTCGCCTCTCGGCTCGCCTCTCGACCGCCCCGCTCCGGCGGGCCGGCCACACGATGGCCGGCGACAAGTACATGCGGACGCCAGAGTCGTTCCAGGCAGTGCTGGACCGCTTCAAGAAGGACCGCGCCTGCGCTGTGCTTCGGACGCCGACTGCGGAGAAGTGTGCTCCGGCGATGGACGCCGCGATCGACGGTGGCTTCCAGATCGTCGAGTTTACGCTGACCACGCCTGGCTGCCTCGACCGTGTCGCGGAGTACCGCGCAAAGTACGATGGGCTCAAGACGGGCAACGTGATGGTCGGCTGCGGCACGATCATGGATGTGCGCGCCTTGCTCTCGGGTGTGAGCTCACGGTGGGGCGGGCGGCTGACACACCGGACGCCCGTCCGCACAGATCGAGGACTGCAAGCTGGCCCTCGACGCCGGCGCCGAGTTCATCGTCGCGCCCGTGCTCGTCCCCGAGGTCGTGACGTGGTGCCGCACGCACAACGTCGTCATCATCCCGGGGACGCAGACGCCGTCCGAGGCGTACGCGGCGTACAAGGCGGGCGCGCCGGTGCAGAAGATCTTCCCCGGCGTCGCTGGCGGCGCCGCCTGGGTCAAGGCAGTCAAGGGTGCCCTGCCGATGCTGCAGCTCAACCCGACCTCTGGAGTCGACCTCGACAACGCGGGCGACTTTGTGCAGCTCGGATGCTCGGCACGCCGTCCACCCGCCCGCGCCACAGCCCTCCCCCTCCCGGAGCACCGCAGGGCCCGGCGCGAGAGGCAGCCAACCCTCTCCCTCTCCCTCTCTCTCTCCGCTCCGCAGATTGGCCTCGTCGCGCCGCTCTTCCCGCCTGACGTCATCGCCGGCAACAAGTGCTCGCCGCCCCCCTAGAAGAGCCTCACTCCCGCCTGCACTCCTCCTCCTCTGCACCCCGTCGCCCGCCGCCTCCCGTCTGCAGCTGTTTTTGTACTGCAGGTGGGACGTCGTGCACGCCAACGCGACCAAGGTGATCGGCAACGTCAAGGCGGCGCTGGCGTGAGCTCGAGTCGGACGCATGGACGTGGGAAGGGTTGACTTTGGGACTCTGTGGTGGGGTAGCTTTAGCGGGCACATGCTTGGCCGGCTGGGCGGCGAAACGCGTCCAACCTCCCGCACCGCCCACGACGCATGATGTATGTGCATGGTGTGGTGTGCGTTAAACATGTTCTTTTCTTTTCCTGCTGTGCCCGTGGTGCGTGGTGCTAGTCCGTGCCCGTCTGCTGTAGAGCCCCGGTGACGCTAAAATTCTTTTCCCTGCTGCCACACCGCGTCCCGATTGAAGATCCCTCACACCAAGATCGTGCAGGGCGGGGACACATGTCCCTAAATCCCATCTCGTCTCAGAGTCGACCGTTTTTATTTATTTATTTATTTACCGCGTCCCGTCGTTGCGCGCCGCTCAAGCGCATCATGTCCATGCCACCCCCAGCCCAGCAGGCTGCAGTCGAGTGGGTGTTGGAGCACCTCGATCAGGTCGAGTCTTCGGCCGGCGGCGCCGATGCCACACTGGCTGCGCTCGTGCTCGACCTGCGGACAGAGCATGCTGCCGAAGCGGCTGGCCTTAGCCCGGAGACGGTGCTCGCAAAGGCCAAAATCGTCGAAGTTGGCGACCTCAGAAACATCCGCCGCCTGCTCACCGGGCCGCCATTCGGCTTCCCTTCCGAGTACGTCGCGAAAATCAGCACGGCCACCAAGTCGGCGGTCACCGAGCGGGCGGGCCGGCGTGGCATCTTTTGCCTCGTCGCGTGCGGAGCGCTGCCGTCACTCGGCGAGCCCGCGCCGAGCGCCTACAACATGGCCGTCGCCTCCGTCTTCATGAGCGACCTGCATGCGATGCGGGCCGAGGCCTGCGAGCCGCCCGCGGAGCGCGGCAAGGCCGGCACCGCTGCGTGCGCCGTCTGCGGAGCGGGCGGCGACCTCAAGGCGTGCGCCCGGTGCGGCACGGTGGCCTACTGCGGAAAGGAGCACCAGCTCGCCGACTGGAAGGGCGGCCACAAGCACAGCTGCAAGCAGCGCGCCCAGCTCTGCGAGGCGATCGCTGCGGCGCGCGGCAGCGCCGACTCTCTCGCCTCGGCCCGCGCGATCGTCGCGCGAATGAGCGACCTGCAGGTGGCGAGCGACTGCAGCAGGCTCGACTCTGGGATGCCGATCGGGGCGCAAGACAGCGTCTCGCTCGGCGAGGGCTTCCAGTTCGCTGCCGCCACGCGGACGCCGCCGCGAGAGTGCGTGGCTTGTGGGCCGCCGAGAGGGCCGCAGAGCCTCGCTGCGCTGGCCGAGGGGCTGCAGCTCGAGAGCGAAAGCCCCGGCTGAGCCCGAGCCGCGCAGTGGCCGGCACCTCGTCCGCTAAGAGACACAGATCTTCTTCGTCCGCTATCGACGTGTCTCGTGTGTGTATCGAGGGAGGTGGATCACAATAATTCCATTTTTGTGGTTTCTTTTTGGATTTTGGGTTGCCAAACAACAGCGGCCGGCGGCGATCTTGGGAGCGTTACAAAAACGTTCGTGAGGTGGTTGCCGGTGCGGTGAGTGCTGAGTCCGACATGAATGCCCTGCTGGCAACAAGCCATCGGCCGCGGCCCGCCGCTGCGTCTGTCTCCGCCCCACTCGACCTTACGACGCATCCCGACGTCCGCATTGCCAGTCCGGAAGGCCGAGCTGCCTCGAACAGGCCGTCTGTGAGTGATTTCCTCAGCGCAACGAGTCCTGGCACAAAGCAGACAGGGACCTCGCAGGTGGTGCCGACAGCATTGCGCACGGCGAATGATTCAAGCAAACAGCAGCTTCTCGCAAAGACGAGGGGAGATTCAGCAGCGGACTTTCTCAAGGCCATGGATTCCCGCGGCGGAGGCGCCGCGTCCAAGCTGGCGGCACCGTCAGCCTTTGATTCGTCAACAGTGGCAAACGACGTAGTCGGCAGACCGAGGTCTAGAATGAAGCTGCAAGACACGGGCGGTTCGTCCAACGTGCTTCTGGAGCGCGTTGCGCTCGCCGAGGCAAGATGTGAGCACGCGGCGCTCTCGGGGCAAAAGGCGGCGCGCCAGCTTGCTGCGCTGCGGGTGAGGTTTGTCCGCGTGGAGGAGGAGCGCGACGCCGTCCGAAAGCAGCTGAATCAGGCCCGGGACGAGGTCACAAAGCTGAGGGCCGACAACCAGTCGCTCAACACAAAGCTCTCTGCCCAAGCCGCCGCCTTGTGCTCTGAAGATGTGCCTCAACTAAGACGGGAGAATGCACGTCTCAGGGCCGAGCTGGAGAAGCTCCAGGCGGCGCCAGCGGGGCTTGGCAGCGGCGCAGCTCGCTCTCCAGCGCGAGACATGGACGCCATGGGCTCACGCGCGCCGAGTACTGCCGCGGTTGCCGCACAGAGCAGTCCGAGCGTGGCAGTCGCAATCCGGAAGGACCCGGCAACTGGACGTCACCGCATCTCGGTTCGCCCCGTTAACGGCGGCTTCGCCATCGCAACGGCACCAGCCAAGCCTTCTGTCGCTGCATTCCTCAGTACGGCACGCCCTGCGGGTGACGGCGCCGCGATCGCGACAGCCGCGCCTTCCGTCGGCAGCGCTGCTGCCTTTCTCGGCGCAACCTCGCCGCGCCGAGCAGATCGCCCGTCGGTGGGTGGGTTTTTGGATACGGTTGCGGCGCGGTAGAGGGCGTGCATATAAATTGTTTTTAGAAGCTGCAAGACTTGAGCACTTGGAGTGCGTCGCCGTCGGTAGCCTCAGCCGGATGCTCGGGCCGACTTGGAGCACTTGGAGTGCAGTTGGCAACCTCACATCCGATGGCAGCAGCCGCGAATTCTTTTTGTGTGCTGTCGGCCTGGGTTCCAACTTTTTCCGGGGTATGGTATGGTACGCTCGGCGGCCCAAAGGGGGGGGGGGGTATGGTCCTGACCGCCCAAGACTAGCCTACCATACCAGACCCCGGAAAAAGTTGGAACCCTGTTGTTAGTTGCGCACCCAGCGGGCCGGATGCTCCTGACCCCGAATTCTTTTTGTGTGCGCGAGTCTCTTGGCCAGCTTGCGGGCACAGGACGCCGGCATTTAGCACGCTCGACACCCTCGCTCAGCTCCCCCGATGCCGCCGCAACACCACGCGGGCGTCTGGCTCGCGTCTGGGATGCTGCTCTTCTTCCTCGTTCGTCGCGTGGCTGGTCTGCAGAGGCGCCAGATCGCCATGTGCCACGGGACGGCTGCCGGCGAGGCAGCCCGGCCACTCTCGAAAGTGCACCACGCGACTGTTGCGCTCGTGCCTCCAGAGGAGTGCTGGCCGCCGATCCAGGAGGCGAGGCTTGAACTTCGCGACCGCGGCATCTACCGCTGGCCGCCGCACATCAACCTGCTCTACCCGTTTGCGCCCGCTGACGAGATGGCTCTGGCGCTGGCCCGCCTGGCTCCCGCGGCGGCAGCGCTGCCGCCGTTCGAGCTGGACCTCGACCAGCTGGGTACGTTTGGTGGTCGCAGGCGCGGCGTGCTCTGGGCAGCGCCTTCGGACGCGGCGCAGCTCGGCCGCCTGGTCGAGCTGCAGGCGGCCCTCCAAGCCGCGGCGCCCGAGTTTGACGACCAGCAGCGCGTCGGTGGCGGCGGCTTCGTGCCGCACATGACCCTCTCGCACTTTGACTCGCTCGACGAAGCGGAGGCGGCGCGCGCAGCTCTCGCGCCGCGCTGGCGTCCCGTCCGCTTCACGCTCGGCGGCGGCGCGGCGGGGCAGACAGCGGTTCACCTGATGTGGCGTGACGGAGGAAGCGGACAGTTTAAGCGTGCCGCCAGCCTCCCGCTCGGCGTCGCTCCGGACGCGCCGCTGCCACCACTGCTCGACCCGCCACACTGCTTCCCGCAGATGCCGGAGGAAGAGGAGGCGTGGGTGGTCGAGGCGCGGAAGGCGGCAGCCAAGGGGCGCAAGGGACGCCGGAGGCGCTCGCCCCGCCGCAGTCCGGAGGAGCGAGCGGCGGTGGCGGCGAGGACCCCAGAGGAGATTGCAGCCATCCGTGCCGCGCGAGCGGCGGCGCGGCGTGAGGCAGACCCGTCGGCATAGTCAACGCTCATTCGTCATTGTGATTTGTGTAGCGTGTAGGCGGTCGTGTGGCATTTTTAAATACTCTCGTGAGCTGTGAACAGACGCACTTGCCTTCGGGGGCAAGTACCCAAATCCCAAATCCGCTAGGTTGGGCGTGCTTTCACAGCCTCACCACGAGAGTAATTTTTAAAACACGCGTTCTATTATCAGTAACCAGCCTCCGGCGGGGCCCCCCGCTACAGTGTGGCTCAACACAAGTGACAAGATTTAGACATAATAATCTAATCTCCCGACTTGTCCGCGGCCTCGCCCACAATGCCTCTAAAGTCTGAGAGGATCTTTCCCGCCCGCGCGCGCCCGTACATCTCCCTCATCTTCGCAACTAAGGCCGCCGGGATCGGCTTCAGGACTCGATTGACATCCAGAGGCCGACCATCTGGCCACTGCCAGTCTGGAAAAGAGAAGCGTAGGTGCATGCAGTTGGCACCGTTCCCACAGCAGGGAGGGAAGAGCGTCAAGCACCCCGGGTGCTCCCTGTGCTCTCTCGGTTTGAAGGTGAGGCGGTCCGGGTCCCAGACCATGAGATCCATGCCAGTCACGTGGTGTGGGATGAGGTCGGAGGTGTTGTGGACGGCGAGGACGGCGGCGACGGTGGGCTCGGACTGCGTCGAGGTAGGCGAAAGGTAGACCAGGTCCCCGCGGCGAGGCCTCGCTCGAGGGTCGAGGGGCCGGCGCAGCCGCTGCCCGCAGCCTCGCCGGGCCTCAAATTCACTTTGAATTTCCCATCCACGTCGCTCGTCGTTCTCCGCCAGACGCTTCTCCGCTCTCGCCTCCTCCACCGAGCCCTCCTCTGTGCACATGGCACGGTGAGCTTCGAGGAGCGCACTCTCCTCCGGCGTCGGCTCGAGTGCGCGTGAGTCGCCTTCAAGAAGCACGAGATGCACCCCAACTGCAGCAAGCGACGCAGCCACCTCTGAGGGGGAGAGAAGCCTACGCAGCCGACCCGGCAAGCAGACCACGCCGCGCTGCTTCGGTGGCTCGCGCACGTCCTCCCGGCGGTTGAGCAAGTAGGCAGGCACAGGCTCCCTGCAGCGCGGCGGCTCGGGTTGACTGCTCACCACTTTGTCGAGCTGCCGCTTGAGCTCGCCCAAGCTCATCCATCTCCGAATGGAGTAGCGGGGCGGCTCATCCGTACGCCCGTACCCTGTATGCCAGCCCACTCCTGGCCGGAACCAGATGTCGACCTCGAGCATGACGGGCAAAGGCACGCCCTTGCAGTAGCAGCAGCCGGAGCAGCCCCGCCGTGCGCACGCCGGCGCGCCGACTGGGAGATGGTCTCCAAACTGGTCGGGGTAGACAATCTCGATTGTGCGCCCGCGGTACTCGTAGTTGCCAGTCACCACCTCGCCGTTCTCAAGGTAGCGGCTGAGCCAGTTGGAAAAGTGAATTTGAGGCCCACAGCGAGACTGCACCTTGCCGTCCCACAGCGAGAGGAAGTCGCTCTGGATCTCGGCGACCTCCGAGTCGCTGAGGATGTCGTCTACGCCCGGGAGAAACTCGGACGCGGTCTGCTCCTGCTGACAGAAGAGCTCCCACTGCTTCTTCTTCAAAAATGAGTGCCCGCCGATGCTGCGGAAGTCACCGAGGCCGAGAAGGCCAGAATCACGGTCGAGCAGGTCACTGCGCAAAATGAACAGCTGTTTCCGGCGGATGCTGTCAGCTGTGGGCATGCACTGGCGGCGAAATATCAAGCGGCCGCAGTCGGCCGCTTGAGGCCCGCAGCCTGCGGGGCAGCTCCACACAAACAGCTCACGCCGCTGGACCCGCTCCTCAGCTTGCACTTGGCGCTCAAGGCGGCGGATAATCCTGTCCAGGACGAAGCTCACCTCGCGCTGCTGCACACGATCCTCACGACCGCTCTCGCGCAGCGCGCGTTGGCGGCCAGCCTCGGCCTCTGCGTGGGCCTGCGCTGCTGCGCTCAAATCCATTGACCTGATCTTGCGCTCCTCGCGCTTGCGGTGCCGGTCGTCGCGCCGCTTTGCAGCGCTCGCCGGCTCGCCGTCGGGTGGCAGCGTGTAGTCGACCGTCGCGCTGGCCGGGCGCTTCGTGCCGAGCGGCGTCGTCACGACCGCGCTGATCGAGCGCGTCGCGTGCTGCTTGCCGGGCGAAACGACCAGCGCCGACACGCTCAGCTGCTGCACGCCCGGTGCGTGCTCGTCAACCCAGCCAGGCTGCACGAGCAAGCTGCTGCCCGCCGCCGATCCGCCGCTCCCGGGCTGGCTGCGCGGCGCCGCGCGCATCCGCTCGAGTTCGCGGAGCTTGTCCAACCAGTTCGAGACCTTGCTCCGCTGCTTTATCGGCTTTCCCATCGCCTCGGCCGCGGCGAACTCATCTGAGTGAGCGCCGTGGAGCATGGCCTGCGCCGCTGCGACGAGCCGCCAGTCGGCTTTCTTCGTCCTGATCAGGCCCGCGTCCTTGAGCGCAGCGATTGCAGCCGTCGCGTCGGCCTCGGCCATTGCTCAGAATTGCAACGGCGAACGCGCTGCGGCCACGCGCTTTTTGCCGCCGCTTTTTGGGGCGCGTGCATCGTCAGAATTTTTGTCGCGACGTACGGTTTTCCAAAAGGGGTCTTTGAGGCAACCCAGCTCGCGACTAGTTTGTTTTCGTAAACGTAGTAAATGCCCCCCGCTGGTACGTCCTACGTCGCACGAGTGCAACTGGGTAGCGGGGGGCTATAACACAGGTAACCATCATGGTGTCGGATCAACAGTGTATTCGTACGGCTCCAGGAAAAACCGCTCCTTAACGACGACTACGCGGCCCGTTTTAGGCAGTGATGATACACCACGCGCGCTGCGCCACTTGCAAGCGCCACGGAATAAATACTCGCTCCAACAAAAATACGATGATCTCATAGCTGCTCAGCGCTGGCCGCTCCTGCATTGCGCGCCCGGAAGCGGCCCTGGAGCACGCTCCACCAGGTTGTCCAGACCATCGATACGGCGCTCACGTACGGGATGCGCCAGTGAGGCGGCACCAGCCGGAAGCCCACAAAGGAGGCGGGCAGCCAGAGGCTCCAGTTGGCATAGAGCGACTCCTTCAACTCCGTCCTCAGCCGGTGCTGGACGTGCTCCACGCCGCACGCAACGCCTCGCGCCCACGCGCCCTGCAGCAGCGCGTCGATAGAGTAGAAAAGTGGGAAGTAGAGGAGCGGCACATGCACGAGCTGGTCCAGCGCCGCCTTGCCGGCCGAGGCGAGGGCTGTCGTCCCCGGGACGAGCCGCTCGAACAGCCGGCAGTAGAGGTAGTACTGCCCGAAGCCCATCCAGCCTCCGCCAAAGAGGGTGAAGACCGCCGTTCGCCGGAGGTCGAGCGTCTCCAACGACCGTCCCTTCACTGCCGTCTGCACAAGCACGTCGGCTGCCGTAGTCTTGACTGCCGCGCTGGTGGCGCCAAAGGCTACCGGCCGCGCAGCCGCCATCGCGTTGAGCGACCTGATGGTGGCTGATAAGGACGGCAGGCTGAACATAGTTGTTGGAGAGAGAGGGGAGAGGAAGGACGCGTTTCCACTCTTGGCTGCTCGTTCTCAGCGCAGCGCTCTTGCATTCACACCCGCACAGCACACTGAGGTATTTTTATGTTCCCCCACCCGGGTGGGGGAATTTTATATTTAGCAATATGAGCCGCCGTCCCCACTCGAACTCGAGTCCGCCGACCGCTATAGGTCGAGCGGGGAGAGAGGCGCTGCCTCCACGGCGGGGACGGAGGCGACACCTCCGTCCCCACCGCCATTGGTTCGAGCGGCAAGCCTTAGGTAGAGCGGGGACGGAGACGTGGAAAAGCGTGCTTGTGAGTGGAAGCCACAAGCGCGCTGGCTCCGGTCGTTTGTAAATGAGGGTGTTTTTCTGTGTGTGTGTTTTCTTGAAGCCTTTCTTAAACTGGGTAACGAACCCCTGTCACTCCGTGAAGTGAACAGAAGAGAGGTGTGAACAGACTGGCGTGCTGATCGTGAAGAGGCGCCATGTCATCGGACACCGAGAGCACGGTCTGCGACCCGCGGTTAGAGGTCGCATCCGAGCCGCAAGTCCCCAAGGGGCCGGGCCAGATAAGGCGCGTGCCCCAGCTGTTCACAGCAACAGCACGGTCTACCCCCGTCGTCCCACCCCAAGTGCAGCAGCTTGGTAGCGGCGGATGGGACGCCAAGAAGAAGGCCGAGTGCCCCAAGTCGCCATTCCTTGGCCACAACTCGGCCTGGCTGAACGAGCTCGCCGACATCCCGATCGGATCGGGCGTCCTCTTCGAGCGCCTGTGCCACGCGTGCCCCGAGGTTCGAGATGACGCCAAAATGTCGGCCATCGCGATTTTTTCGACGCACCGGCAGTTCAAGTGCTTTTGCCCCGCCGAATGCGCGGCAAACCTGAAGGAGCGCTACTGCGGCTGCTTCAGCACCTGCCGGTCGGAGCTCTACGACCACCTCTCGCGCTGCCTCTTGATGCTCGTGTCTAACGTCAAGAGGGAGACCCGCGCGAGCGACGTCGTCTCTAAAGAGGTTGTCTTGCAACTGCTCGAGGACGCCTGGCTCTTCGGATCGACGATATCCACAACCAATCAAGGGGGTGTGCCAGTCGACACGCTGCACATAGACAATGCAAGAGTCACCCTGGACACGTCGAGAGACATCTCGAAGGTCAAGATCCGACCAGTGCGCGACCCACGATCCGTACCGGTGTCACAGCCGGTCATGCCAATGCTATCCACTGCGCCTACAACGCTACCCTATGCAGCCGACCTGTGGCATCGACGCTACGGGCATATGCCCGCGTCGACCATGATGATGTTGCCACATGTCACGACGGGGTGTGAATTTAAGCTCACCCCGCAACAAGCCAAACGCCATCGGGATTCGTGTAGCATATGCATACAATCCCGAATGCGAAGGGCGCCCGAGACAAAGAAGGCGCCCCGTTTTGAGAAGTCGCGCGCCCCCGGCGAGCTTGTCCACTCGGACCTACTCGGACCGCTCCCCGCGAGTCTAGATGGGGGGTATCGGTACCTCGCTGTTTTTGTCGACGACTTCTCGCGCTACATCATGGTATATCCGATGCGAGAAAAGGGTGAACTCGAAGCCCAGTACGCCCGATTCGAGCAAGACATGTCGGAGTACTTCATCAGCCAGCGTCGCCAACTACACACTGATAATGGAGGGGAGTTCATGAGCAAGTCGCTGGCCGAATACCTCACCACGAATGAGATTAAACACACCACCAGCTCTCCCTACTCGCCGAACCAAAACGCCATCGCCGAACAGGCGATGTGGCGGCTCTGTTCGGTGGCGAGGGCGATGCTGCTTGAGTGCGGACTCCCTACCTGCCACTGGGCGATGGCGCTCACGCAAGCAGCGCTACGACTCAACATCACGCCTCGACGCACGATCCGAGCCGGATCCAAAATTAAAGGCGCGAGCCCCGACCCAAGCGATGTGGCCTGGACCACCCCTTATGAACGTCTAAAAGGGCGCAAGCCAAACGTGCGCTTCCTGCGTGTGTTTGGATGCCGGGCCTGGGTACTCAACGAGCCTATCCAAGGACGTGCCAAGCTCGAGTCAATCGCAACAGAGGGATGGTGCATCGGGCCAGCGCGATACTCGCGTGGAATGGTCATTTACATCCCCGACAGCGAATCGCCCAACGACTTAACAAAAGGCAAGTACAAGATCACCCGGAACATCCGGGTAGACGAGTCGTTCACACCTAAGGGACGCGTCGACAGAGGGCCATCACTAGCGCCTCCGATCGTCGCGGGGAGTGAACGCCCCCAGGCAAAGGACGTGATACTCTTCCGAGTCCCTGCCAAAGCAAAGCCTGGTGACGTGCTCGATGTCACCTCGCCCAAGACGGGTAGAAGCGTGCAAATACGCGTCGCCGAGAGGATGTACCCAGAAACATACTGGACGGCGTACGACACGACCATCCCGAACGCCGACGACGCTGTCTTTGGCACAGCGCAATCGATAATCGACGCGAGCGCTGATGGAGCCGACGCTGGGAGCACCACTGCACCCTCGCGGGGCCTTCCCACAGAGGGGGTGCTAGTCGGCGGCAAAAGCAAGCAGCTCAAGAAGATATCCAAGCGCGCTCGCGACAACGCCATCAAGGGTGGCCCCGTCAACAGCCCGTCGTCTAACCCGACACTTCCACCAACCTGGGTGACAGCTGTTCCAGGGGGTGGCGCCTCCGGGGACGATGTCACCTGGGCAACTCCGGTCCCACCGCCCAGGGTGACCGCTGTGCCCGGAGGGCCCAAAGGTACTGACGTGACTTGGGCGAGCGTCGCTGGGCGCCATGACAGCCAGCAGCCTACACCCCAAGCCTCGGCTGAGGGGGTGGACGGCGCGCAGCTCGTGACTGCGAACATGACGCATACAATGCGCATGCACAGGACAGACTTCGAGGAGCTCAGTGAGGCTCTCGAAGACGGTGACGAGGAAGCGATCGAGCAGTTCATCACCAAGCAGAAGATGTTACGAGGCGATGACCCCGACATCACATACACGGTCGGCATCCCCCCAAGCTGCAAGTCTGCCCTAACGGGCCCTGACAAAGAGAAATGGATGCCGTCATACACTGAGGAGCTAACGGCACTCCAACAAAATAAGACGTTCTCCGTAGAGGACATCCCCGCCGGCGTCCATGTCATCGACCCAACAGTTGTGCGAGATGTCAAACGTGATGAGAACGGCCGCCCAGACCGCTGGAAGACGCGCGTCTGCGCTCGAGGCTTCATGCAGCGGCTGGGCGAACATTACTTCAACACGTTCAGCAACACGGTTCGATATGAGACGCTGCGGCTACTTATGGCGATAGCCGCAGGCAACGACCTCGCCCTTACGAGTCTTGACATCAAGACGGCTTACCTCAACGGCTACATCGAAGGGGGCGTCCAGATCTACATGCGCTTTCCTGCCGGATGGCACTTTGAGGGTGACGGATTCGACTACACCTTCAAATACACTGGTGATCACACGCGCAAGAGGGGGCGTCCCGAGCGTGGACTACGATTGGTCAAGGCCATCTACGGTCTGAAGCAGAGCGGAGCACTCTGGGAAGAGACGCTCCGATCGTTCCTACTCTCCATCAACGCCGTCCAGTGCGTCGTTGACCCGTGCCTGTGGCGGTACTCCAAAGGCGGCAACACCCTGCTCTTCGTCGTGTACGTTGACGACATCGTGATCGCCTGCTCCAACCAAGACTTTCGCGATGCGTTTGTGAGCATGCTCCAAGAGCGATTCACATTGCGCGACAATGGCCCACTCACCTGGGTGTTCGGTTCTGCCGTCGAGCAGGACCTAGAGCAAGGCACCGTTAGCTTTCACCAAAAGCTCTTCATTCAAGATACCGTCAAGGAGTTCCTGGGCGACGACCCCCGCCCCAGTAAGCGCGCCGTACCGTGCAACGACGACATCACCAATCTCACCCACCTCGAAGAGGGTGAGATGATGCACCCACGATACGCCGAAATTGTTGGCAAGATAGGGTGGTTGGCCAACATCTCCCGACCAGACATTGGCTACGCCTACTCGACGCTCTCAAAGTTCCTAAAGGGGGGCGGGGAGCGCCATTTCAACATTGCCCTTGGCGTCCTCGCTTACCTGGACAAGACAAGGGACAAGACGATCACCTATCGCCGCGAGGCGGATGGCAACCTCGCCGATCACATCGTAGAGCATGCCGACTTAGCCAGCTTCGACTACGACAGGTTCGTGCCGATCATCTTCTCGGACACCTCTCATGGCGGGGAAAAGCCTCAGGCGGGATACGTGATTTTTGTGTGCAATGGGCCTGTCTCTGCACACGCTGGGCGCCTTAAGTCCACGCCCACCTCATCGTCCGAAGGCGAGTACGCCATTGCGACCAAGGCCACACAAGCGGCCATCGCGGTCTCGGACACCATCAAGTTCATGGCCGAGGACCTACCCGACTACAAGGGCAACAAGTCGGACCTCGGATGCACAATGCCGCTCTTCTGCGACAATAGGGCGGCCGTGCTCCTTAGCGAGGGCAACACCTCCTCGAAGCGTATGCGACACGTTGCAACGCAGATCGCCTTCCTACGCGAGCAGGTGAAAGACGCGAAGCGTGTCAAGCTCATCCACATCCGAACGCAAGGGCAGATAGCTGACCTCTTCACGAAGCCGCTGGCCGCGGCTGTCTTTCACCCTCTCCGCGCCTTTGTTGTGGCGTGACACCACAGAAGGCTACGACGCCCACCCACTACAGAGGTGGTGAGCAGACGGAGGTTGCGTCACCGTGCCGTAAGAGCGTGACGACCCCATGCAGGTTAGGGACGAGCTGTGTGGGTCCAGCGACTAGGATGCGATGCGCATCGGCTAGTCACTGAGGGGGTGATCTGCTCGTTCTCAGGGCAAGAATGTCCATGCACACCGCCGACGCATCCCACGCGCCTGTGAATAACGTCTGGGAACGCTCCAGAAGATTTTTATCTACCCTATGAACCGCCAACGGCGATTCGAACCCAGGTCCTCAGATTCGAACCCAGGTCCGCCGACCATAGGTCGAGCGGCTGACATCGAAGTGAGCCGCCGATCATATGTCGAGCGGCGGTCTTCGGTTCGAGCGGCCAATCCTGGGTTGGCGGCTGTGGGGAGTGAAAAATCGTGTGTCGGAGTGATGCCACAAGCGGACTGGCGTCGTGGAGGTGTAAAAACATTTTTGTGTGCGTATTTTATTAAACTTCTTTTCTGGGCTAACGAACCCCTGCCACATTGTGAAGTGGGCAGAAAGAAGGTGTGAACAGACAGGCGGATCGAGTGTGAAGAGACGCCATGTCATCGGACCCCAAACCCGTCGGCGGCCAGTGGCACAAGGCCGCGCGCGGGGAGTTGTCCCCCCCCAAGGGCGCGAGCGAGGAAACGCTCGTGCCTCAGCTGTTCACGGCATCAGTGCCGGACCCGCGTACCGTGCAGACACACACAAAGAAAGAAAGAAAACAGGCAACCCAAGGGAGGGATGGGAGGACGGTACGCCGCCACCACACAGGGATTTTAGGACACACACACACCCCAGAATTTGTGTCATGAATTCTTTGTTCACAGCGCAGCCGAGTTGTCCGGCGACGCTTGCTTGTGCTTGGTGCTCGACCGCCATTACAAATGCTGAGCAACGCCCAAGCCGCCGAGGATTCGCGCGCAGCGGAGGCGCGCGGCATGCACGCGTCTCGCTCTCGCTTTGAGTCACGCAACAGCTCTCAGTTGGCCGCGCGCTTGGCCTCGATGAAAGGCCCGCCGCTGTTCCAGCGCCCGGCTTCGGTGGCTGCGTGCGTCGTGCTGCTACTGATTGGGCTGCTACTGTTTGTCGGCGCCTTGGCGGCCGCCGCCGCACGTGGCCACGGACAATCCTCTGCAGCTCCAGGCGCGCCATCGCCATCCCTGCCACTTGCAACCAAACCGCTCGAGCTGCGGCCGCGCTTTCACTCCAGCACGGCTGGACGGGGGATCGACGTGAGGCACGGCAGCAGGCGCAGGAACCCAACGTCTCATGTTGGAGGTCCGGCGCCTACCGAAGCTCCGAAGGCCGAGGCCAAGGCTGGCCCGCTGATCCGCAGAATATAAGGCGAGACCGGCCCGCATAAGTGTGTTTCACGTGTCTCTCTGTCCCCTGTTCAAAATTAAAGACGGGTCCGCCTCCAGTGAGTGGGCAGTGGGCATGCCAATGCATGCCCACAGCCACGACAACCCCCTTCCCACATATGCGATATGGGCGCGCACCGAAAAAAAGGTAAAAGCGCTCCCCGAGAGCCCTGCCTAGACTCTACGTAGGCTAGAGACGGTAACTACTAGACGGTAACTACTAGCCTAGAGGGTGTGGATGCTGAGTTGACGGAAATCGGGGGACGCGACCCACTTCGCCACAGACGGTCCCGCGCCTCGCCGCTAAGACGGCCACACGACCGCAGCTCGTGTGCGTGTGGCCGTCTCTTTGTCCGGAGTGAAAAGTCCAACACGCTCGTCGGTGGCGGCTTCCCCCGACTGCGCCCCGCGCGCTCGGCGAACCTCGACAGCGCCTTTGGTGGCATGCAGCTCTTTGCGACAGAAGCCTGGAGAGCAGCTCCTCTCGGCTGCTCACACGCTCTGCACAGCGATAACAGCGATATGGGCTCGCCCTCACTCTGGCCCTCAGTCACTTGTGCTGCGGCTTGTGTGAGCGACACTGCTCGGCGATGCCGGCACACACTGTGTGAGACCCCGCGGGTGTGAGGTAAAACCACGCTACCAGCGCTTGGTCACATCGGCCCCGAGGTCAGATTCTTCTCTACTCTGTTGATGACAACACTTGTCTACTGGCTGGAGCCGAGCAGGAGGCCCAGCGCACAAACAACCCCTGGTCAACTAGAGCTGTTTAACATTAACTTTGGGCCTAACAGTTGCGCTAGTGTTGGCTGAAATCCTTAACGTTGTTCAAGTGTTCACCCCAGCCCATGCTGCTACTGTTTGTTACTGTTGTTACTGTTGTTCAGCGGCCAGCAAGCAGAAAATGCCAAAAAACCCGGGGGTAAAACCCGAAAATACCTGGGTTTTCCCGGGTATTTTCGGGTATTACCCGCACTGGACGCTGGAGGCCATCGTGGGTCACTGCCAGGCCTTCCTTATTGTTGTTCAGCCGGCCTAACGTTAGCTACTGTTGTTGGGGAGCCCCACTGCGGCACATCGGTCCCACCTAGGGGATACTGGGCTGGGTTTTTAGGCATTGTGGGGTTGGCACTCCCATCGACCCTCATGACCTCCTGCGGTCTCTGAGATGGACACCAGTGGGTGTGGGACCACAGCCAGGATACACTCGAAGGCTGGGTAAGCAGTAGAGGTCGATACTCGACGCGTCCCACATGATCTGTGTCGCTGTCGGCACGCTGTCGACAGGACGTCGAGCGACACCGGTGGCAGTGCCACCCAGGAGTGGTCGGGCGGTCTCCCGTCATGAGAGAGCCACCATGTGATCCGTATGATGATTCCTGACAACCGCCTCAGTCAACTTTTGTCACAGTTCCCGCTCTGAGAGGAGCTGAGGGTCAGCTCGACAGCTGGAGCTGTGTCGCCGGCGTGCGGCGGCCTGCCTCCGGAGGTGCCTCTGAGGTGGACATTTTTTGGTCACCGTGAGAGAACGCGTTCGAATTTTCACTCCGGAACTTCAACTCCGCACGCGCACCGGCCAGGGCTACAATAGTGCCAGTGAGGCGGAGGCGCGAGTCGGAAGGCCGCGACCGTGATTTGGTCCCTTCGTTTTCCTACAATCGCTGTGAACCCAGCCACGTATCTGTCTATGCGGTATGTTGAGAAGAGAGCGCTCTCCGGCCTCGCAGGGTGGCCACAACGGAACGGACGTTTACACGCACTGTGCCGGGCACTGTATTACACAGTGCGGTAACACGAGTAAAAACTTAGACCACGTCCTAAGCGAACTGCAGAGAGAGCGAGAGCACGCAATGGCGCCAACGCGCATCAGGATGGGTATCGCCGGTCGTGGCGCCGTCCTCAAACGCATGCCCGAGGAAGAGGCTGCACCCTGCGCAGTAGAGCTCCACCACACTGCAGCTGTAGTGATTGTACGCGCCTTGCGCCACCGCGATCGTGTGAAGGCTGCTGACCTCCAGTGGCGCGCGGAAAGAAGGCCATAAGCAGGGTCCAGTAAACTTGGATGTGTGAGCGTACAGCGCGTGCCCGCAGCGAGCGCAGCTGTAGAGGCCCGGATTGAAGCTGCGCGCGTACTCCTCACCGCTCACGAGGGACGAGATCTGCTCCATGCGCTGCTCAACCTCGGCGTTGATCGGGCAGCGGCTGAGTTCGAAGTAGCCGCTCCGGTCGGTCAGCGAGATCGCGGCCCGGAGAGAGTCTCGCTCTTCCTTCGGCAGCTTGGCGGGAAGCCGGCACGCCATCGCCTGCCACTCCTCTGCGATGGACGCCTTGGGCCCCACGGGCTGCGAAACAGCTCTGAGCAGGTTGGCTGCGCCCAGCTGCGCGCACGCGGCCAACACCACGCCGAGCCCCTCGCCCCGGAAGACATCTGGCTGGAAGGCCTCCACGTCCATGATACCGACCACTTCGCCGCGCCCGCCAAAGATCGGCACGCACGCCTCCGCGCGCACCTGCCCGTCACAGACATAGTACGGCGCATCGCCCGGAAGAGAGAGGACGTCGTGATAGACCACCGCCCGCCCGCTCATGGCCACGGTCGAGTTGTTTGAGCCCTCGGAAAAGGAAGCGGTCAAGGGAAAGTAGGGTCGCGAGGGCGCGCCGACGTAAGCCAGTTTAAGTAGATTGGCCGCACCGTCGTCCCCGCCGAACTCGCTCAAGCCACCGCCGCCGCCGGGCTCGACGACTTGATAAACACCGCACCACTGCGCTGAGGTCCGTTCGGCGACAGCGGCACAGATCGCGCGGAGTGAGCGCAAGCGCCTAAGCGTGTCCTGCTCGCTCGAGCCAGGCACTGCGGCCCGCGCCGCACCGAGGGCGTCAAAGGGTTCGAGTGCCAACTTGCGAGAGCAGGAACCGCCCGCTCGAGGCGGCACGGGGAACTTCCACGACCGCAACGAGTCGTCGTCGGCAACGGTGATGGGCAGCGAGTGGATGTCGAGCGCAGTCTCGTGCCCTGCCAGGCGCTTCGCCAGCTCGTTGCGATTTAGGAGTTCCATGCAATGCACTTCTTAGCCGTGCTGTATCGATGCACGCACAGCCGGACGCCCCGGGGCGCGCAAAGAAATTTCGCAGTTGATCTGTGAGGGTCCGCCCGCAGGCGCATTTTGTATACCGAGGCGGTGCCCGGTATCTAGAAAGATGGGATTTCGATTAAGTTTGGCTCCTACCCACACTCAGCCCTCCCACAGCGCCGGCCGCGCGCGCAAATCTGAAGGAGAAAATGCAGTGCCCCTGCATCGTCCATCGAAACGGTCACGATGCATGAGGACTGCAGCGCGAGGAGGGCATTTAGCCAACTGCTGTGGATTGCGGATACGGAGGAGCAGGACCCGAGAGGCCGAGCGGCTCGGACGCGGACTCTGAAAAACTGCTGAATGGCAATTGGGCGTTCTGGCTGTACATTATAATGTAACACGGTCTGGCCCTCGCCATTCTGATCATTCCTGGGACCCAGGTGGCCGGCCGGGTAAACGGGTATACCCGAGAAATGCCCGGGGTCGCCATGGGTTTGTGGACTGGACTTCAACGGCACCGGCACCGCTCACCCCCCAACTCATAAGGTTCACGAGTTGCTACTGTCAGAGTTGGTCTCCGCCACATCAGTAGCGCTACTGTCATCCGAGCTGTCCGTCCCCACGTCCGTCCCCAGGAACCCATACTGCTCCAGCGGCGACGGTCCCTCTGCGGCTGGCCGTGCCCCGTGCTCGACGAGGAGATTGTATACGACACGCACGCTCCTGATGCTCCGATCACGGTTACGACCGGCAGCTTTGAGCAACCAAAGGTTTCGGACGCAGAGCCAGGAGAGGATGCAGAAGCTCCCCACCTTCAGCTTCAGGTCCGCGCCCTCTGCAAGTGCGCGATGCCATTTTTGCACCCAGCTGGGTCGGCGCGTTTGAATCCGCTCCGCCATGAACCAGAGCGCCGCGGTCGGTCCGAGCTCACGCAGCAGCTTGTGACTCCACGCTCCATTGTAGCGGATCATCGTGCCGTCGACTTTCTCAGAGCCGAGCCAGACGTAATGGAACCGGGAGAGACGCACGGCGCCGCTACGAGATAGAAACACCAGATCCTTGGTAAGCTCATCGAGCTGCTGCAGATGCAGCCACCCTGCTGCGTCACCAGTTGGCATCCGAATCTCTAGCTGCTCCAGCAGCGGCCACAAAGGCAGAAGCATGAGCAGCCGACCAACGCTCCCAAAGCCGAAGCCGGACACCTCGACCGCCCTCAGCGCGGCAAGCCGAACTGCCCACGACTGCGGCGCCATCAGCGAGGCGTGGCACGATAGCACGCCTTCTGTGTCCCGACCGCCGCCATGCAGGACAAGCTCGCTCAACCCAGACAGGAGCGCGCGGTGGCGGGACGAGCATTCAAAGAAGGAGAGCGCGTCGCACAATCTTTTTTCGGCGGCCCAAAGATACTGGCCTACGAGGTGCAGCACCTCGTCTGGCAGCGCGTCGAAAGAGGTTGCGGTCTCAGCCAAGGGCTCCTCGGCGAGCATGCTCCCAGTGATCCAAGTGTCGCTTGCCACGGTTTCTCTCCAGCCAGAACAAGAAGAAAGCTGAATATGCAAACCGTTACGCAAAAGCATGCGCGACTTGCACTCTTTCGTGCCACTCGCTCGCCGGTGCGCGGGGCATGGCCTCCCGCGCGGCTCGCGCTCACTCGGCCTGCCTCCGCCTCACGGCTGGCTGAGCACGCCATGGGTCCGCCTGGTGCGGCGCTGCTTGCTCGCTGCGCTGCACAAAGCTGCGAGAAGCAGGGTGACCTCCTGAGCTTGAGCATTGCGCAGCGCGGCTGCTGGTGCTCGAGGGCGGCCGTGTGTGGTGGCGTGAGGGCCTGATTGGTGGTGACCTCGTGCTGCATCAGCGTGCGCAGCATGCTCCCTCACCCGGTGCTGAGACATGCTGGTGGGCGACTGGCGCCAGCTTCTCAGTGCTGTCCTTTGCGTTGTGCAGCATGTCGCAATACTCCTGACCGGCGCGGGGTGCGTCGTGC